TTGTTTATTTATTTGGTACAGGGTCTCGCTCTGCAGCTCAGACTCTTAGTGATCCTTCTGTCTCAGCTGTTCCAGTGCTGGGATTACAGTCATGTACCACCACACTCGGTTTCAGTGGCTGCCATGGTATGCCAGGGTTCTGGGGCTGGCTCAGCCAATGGTACAAGGGATCAAACCCAGGTCCTTGTGTTTACCAGGCAGGCACTTAGACCACTGAGCTACCTCCTCAGCCCTAATTTTTCTCTTTAAAAAACAAAAAAAGTCATCAACATTAGCGTCTTCTCAAAAGCCCGGTTCCTGCTGTCTTCCCTGTGTACTCTGGGCCCCACATGAACCCCTTACGACTTAAGTTCCAATCCATACTCTGGCTGTCCACCCACCACACTCACACTCAGTTCTCACTGCCTGAGAGTGGCAGGAGACTCCTCCTCTCCCTTCCTGGCTCCTTGTGATTCTCCTAAGCTCTGTCTCCTCTCACCTGCCTACCATCACTCCCTGAACCCCAAGGCTCTGCCAATTCCAATCCTTCCTTCAGGGTCCTACGGCACCCACCCCCTCATGATCCTGCCTTTGGTCACTCGGGATATGCCATCTTTAAATCCAGAATCCATAGGACATTATCTTGATTTATAAAAATGAATTTTAAACAAATATATGTATATCATACAGAAATTGAGTTGATAATGAACATTAGCTAATGTTCTTTAATTTATGTAAAGCTTATTTATCTCCTTGGCCTAATCACTTGCATCTTGGAGTGCACACCAAATCTTTCTCCTTTGAATCCTCCAAAGCAGCAAGTGTCTGCAAACCCAAGGCCTTCATAGACCCTAATCTCATGATGCCCCTATGGCCCCAAGACCCTCAGCAAGAGGTATTGGGGGAGGTGTTGCAGAAGTGAGGACCAGCAGTTGATTTCCACTGCAGGAGCTGGATCCTGAGAACCCAGACTCAAGGATCATCACTCAGATAATCCTCAGTGATGCCTGATTCAGAAGTTCTGTCTGCATTCAACTAGGAGAAAAAACAATATTTATTTCCCAAGAATGAGAGTGTTAAAGAGGCAGCTCTCCCACCAATTAACTGTCTTTTGCAGCACAATAATAGGATTCAGGACAAAAACCTGAGAGTAGGTGAATAAAAATAGATGCAATATCAAGGAATGACACCATTTGACTGTTCAAGGCACTGACTCTAGAAAGAAAAGCAGGTGTTGGTAACACACAGAGAACCAGGCTGGGGGAAGACAGCCTAGACTACAGTGTGTGTGTGTGTGTGTGTGTGTGTGTGTGTGTAGCCATTTGTGTAGCTCTAGAAACATAATCACAAAACTATAACAATAGTTATCAGGCCAAGCACATTACCAACAGTATATCCTCGTCTATCCCCACTCTCTTTCCCTTTTTGTTTTTTTCTTTCTGTAAGACTGGGGATTTAATTCAGGGCCTTCACTTTACAGCTACATCCCCAGCCCTGTTTTATAACTGATTTTGAGTCAGGGTCTCACTAAGTTGTTTAGGCTGGTTTTAACCTTGTAATCCTTCTGCCTCAGCCTCTCCAAGGGCTGGGATTACAACTGTGAACCATTATACATGCTTTTTTTGTTTTTGTGGTGCTTGGGATCAAATTCAGGAATGCATGTAGGTAGGTCAAGTATTCCACCACTGAGCTCACTCCTGCCCTTTAATAGTTTATCTTTTAATCCTTACTACAGTCTGTGAGGTGGATACAATTGTCATTCCTGTTTTAGAGATGGCAAAATGAGGCATAGAGAAGTTAATAATTTTTCAAGACCTGAAGCTACTTAACACTCATGAATTCCATCCAGGTGTGACTGAGTAAAGCCTAAGACTCCAAGGTGTATTCTCAGCCTTTCTGAACCTGACAGTACCTATGCCAACAGCCCTGCACAGGAACCAGTGAATCCATAGCAGAGTAGCTTGAGGGTAGGGCCAGCAGGTCCCCACTCAGCCTCGAGCACAATGTGCAGGCCAGCACAGCTCTCTAGATGGAATCACCTACTTCTAGACCTTCTGCTCACTGAGGATAACATCAAGACCCAAAGAAGTGACTAGCTAGCATCACCTAGTCGTCTAGGTCATTAGAGGTGAATTCACTTGCTAAGTTTTGTCATTTATTTTGGTCTTATATAGACACAGAGCCCCCGGGACATAGCAGAAGCCTCGGGATATCTCAGAGACAGACAGTGATGTCACTCCACTGCCTACTCCACATCCCTTGATTTCACTCTTAGTATATTTACTAAGGTCTTATTTCAAGTCTAGTATCCTGCAAGGGTAAAAAGAGAGAGTAAAAACTCAGACTGTAGGTCTTTGTACTCAGGATTTGAAGAATAAAGCAGCTGAGTTATAAAGGGGTCACCTCCACACATAGCCAAGCACAGCTTCATTCCACAAGGACTCACTGAGTATCTCAGCAGGGCTGGGGAATATTCAAGCTGCAGGGATGCCTGCCCTAGTTGGCATATAAGACTCATCTTTACTATATTCTTCTTCTGATATCTTCAAGCCACCTGTCTAGTTCGACTATGCCAGGTTCAATGCCCAGTACACCCAGGAATGCCCTATGTAATCAGGAAGGAAGAGAATCAAAAGAATCCAGTATGATTCCATCCTTATCTGAGGGCTTGGATTAACTCAGTGATAGAGTGTTTGACTGCACGCATGAGGCCCTGAGTTCTATCCCCAGGACTAGAAAAAAAATCTGAGTTAAGTGCCAACCGGAAAAGCAGTAACATCAAAATGCTACCTGTCCAGGGGTGGGGAATGAATGGCACACATGCTGCGATGGGCTGTTTGTTTCACTAAAAGCTCTAAAACGTTCACCATCCCTGACAGACTACCTCTGGCAAAGTTGCTGATGCTCTCCAAGTCCCTTCTGTTCCCTCCAGAAGCTGCAGAAAGACTGTGATGTAGGAGGAAAGTCGGGGACCCAAAGGAGCCCTGGTCCCACATTCATGAGTTTCTGTCAGGCTTCTTTCCAGCTCAAATTGGGTCACAAGGCCATCGAATCCTGGACTGGCACCACAAGGGCACTGACACACCCCTCTGTGCACCCCACAGTGGCTGTGCTCTTGTCTATTCATTTCTCATCTTATGTTTTACTTTATCTGATTTCAGATGCATGCCTGTGTGTGCATGTGTGTGTGCTGGGGGTAAACAGCTATAGCCTACATATTTTTATGACCCACATCCCTGCCGCTTGTTTCATGTGATAGCCCTGAACTTTCTTTCAAATTAAAGTCTACTCCTAGAAAGTAATCAGTATGTTTTACATACATGAATTCACTTGCTCCTCCCCAGAACCCCATGAAGCAGGTATCTTTACTACTGTCTCTCAAAGTCACAGAGAAATTTAAGTTACTTGCCCAAAGTCACACATCTAGTAAGAGGCTTGGCCAGGATTTGAGCCCACATGGTGTATCTGCAGGTCCTTCTCTTAACCACATGCTATCATTTTCATTTGATAGCTGCCCAAGATTCCTCTCCAATTTAGTTCTGGCTAGAGGAAGCTGCTTCAGAGGCCACATGCACTTCAGACGGAAGGAAGCGGAAGAGAAAAGAGGGGAAGGAATTTCCTCCTGGACCGCATTACTAGGGTTGGTCCAAAAAAAGGGGTGAGTCCTCGATACCTGAGACACCAGGCTATTATTAAACTCCCACTTCCTGTGTGGGGACACCATATCGCAGGTGGATAGGCAGAGTGCTTCAGTGTCCTGGGAGGGAGACGCCTTAAGTTTCATACTACATGACTGCAGGCTGTAACATGGGAGCAGCTTTCAAACCTCCGGAGGCCACCACAGGATGAGGGTCCTAGGGAGGCGGTGGCCCGAGCTGTCCAAGTGCAAATCACGGTTTACTTTCTCAAAGTCTTTGGGATACAGTTCCCATCTACAAGGATGAATGGAAGTTAAGCTAGTATCAGCAGTCTGTAAAGAGATGCAAGCTGATCTTTCTTTCCGGAGCTGTCTTGTTTGGGCAGAACACATCTTCTTGGACACATCTACTGTCAGAACTCGCAGGCAGTCTTGATGGACTTCCGAGGGGGCACTGCGGCCCAGCCAGACGACCAGGCCAGACAAGAGGCCCTCCAGAGGTGGAACTAGCCTCTGGCTGAGCGATTGGGCAAGCGCCCGCCCTGTTTCCAGCTCAGGACCTGGGTCTGCCCCTCCAGGCTCTGTCACAGAAGCTGGCTCCAGCCATGGCATCTGCGTGGCCCCGGCCCTTCTCTTTATCACACAGGGACTGAAGGGACCCCTGGGCCGTGTGTGTGGCGTTTCCACTAGGTTTCATGTCAGAAACTTGGGCTATTACAGCTTTCCAAACTATCGGAGTCCCAGTACCCCAATCAGACTACCATAGGCAAAGATATTAACGGTCAAATCATCCGTCAATGATGACACAGAGGTGTGGCAGGAGTCCTGGATTCCCTTCCAAGCCCAACACAGCTTCCGTGCCTTAGGGGCTGGGGGCTTTAGGGCTAGGAGCCGAGTCAAGGGGCCTGGTTTGGGGACCTGTATGTGACTTCTACTCTGACTCTTGGCGCCCTGGCCTCCTCCCCAGCTCTCAGCCTCCATATGCCCGGTCGCTGACACGGGGATAATACGCAGCACACGACCTGCGTGCCTCCTCCTCTCCATCCATTCTCGCTGCCCAGACGCCCGCCCTTCCGAAGGTAGGGAAAGGCTGGTGCCGCCGCATCCCCTGAGCCCAGCCGGACCAGGACGCTCCCTTCAGGGCAGCCCCGCGGTGACTCGGCTCTGGGCGCCACCTCACCACTCGCCCGCTGCGGCTGGGTCGCGCGCCGCCGCCTCCAGGCCAGAGGAATTTTCCTCATATCGGCTCAGCCGAGGAAGGGTGGCCGGGCTAGTGTCCCTGCACCGCCAGGCAAGTTGGCTACACCGCGGGGCGGCCCCGAGCCCGCGCCCCAGCCCCGCCCGCGCCCTGGCCACGGCCCCCGCCCGGCCTGGCGGCACTCACCGCGGGGTCCGCGCCTGGCCGGCCCTGCCGCGCTGCCATCGCCTCGCCCGCCGATCAGCTCCCCTCCCCCGTTATCTGCCGGGCGACGCGGGGAGCGCCGGTGAGTTACGCGGCATCTGGCTAAAAATACAGGCACCCTCCACTCGGCCAGCCAGCCCGACCCTGCTCCGGCCGGCCTCTCGCCGCTAGTGGGACCTCGTCCCGCTCTCCCCGCAGTCAAGTCCGGTGGGAAAGTTAATGTGATCGTCCCCGGAGAGAAGCACTTGCTGCCAAGTCCTCGGGCGGCGGCGGGGCGCCGAGCTTCAGGTGCCACCGGGGTGCTGCAGAAGGGGGCGCACAAGTCCAATGGAGGCGCTGAGCTCCAAGCTGCGCGCCTGCCCTGCCTGCCACCCTAACTGCCTAGCATGGGTCCCCGGGGCCGACAGCGGCTGGGGTGAGCTCACAGAGTCTATTTATGCCCATAACTAATTTACATGTTTTGAGCTCTTCCATTATGGCCTTGAATACCAGTCCATTAACCTATTCCAAATTCTCAAGAGGGAACCAAGACCCGGAGGTGGATCTCTTCCCATTTGCTCTCTGTTCCAGTGTTTGTGAAACATCACCAACACAGGCCCTGTTCCTGCTCCTGTTTCCTGCTCTAGGACCACCCTGCCTTATGAAGTCATTGGTTCAGGGACTACAGTCAAAAGCTTGCCAAGGCTGACAAAATCTTAGGCTTGTTCCTCACCGAAGTTTGAAGCCATGAGCCTGACACCATTCCCTCTTCAAGCAACAGTCTTGATGCAGACGCAGTACCCCTTTCCTGCCCAGCACCCTGACATAGCTCAGCAGGGATGTAGGAGGTAAGGGACCTGGGCCTGCAGCACCTTGGCCTCAGTTCACTCTCACTACTACCCTGAGGTAGACAGGGCTGTGAAGAAATAGCCCCAAGAGGCTAGGAGTCAGGGCCAACGACACCAGTAAACATTAGGTCCAGCTGGCCCAAAGCCAACCTGACCCACGGTCCTTCCCCTGGCACTGGCGAGATTCCTAACAAGGATGTACTCAGTGCCAGGAAGAGATAATGTGAAGGATGCCCCTGAGGGTTAGAAAAACTATGAGGCTGTTACAGAGCAAGGTGTTCCTCAAAACCATGGAAAGTCCCAAGGAAGAGCAACGTGTAGATCCAGAAAGGCCAGGCATTGCCAGAAAGATGGATGCTGGAGTGTCCTAGCTCCTCTCCATGTTAGGATGGCAACCACAGACTTCCCTAGGCCATCAAAGGAAACTGAACCTGAAGACAGACATATGCTGGAAGGCCCCGGGAAATGTCTGGGCTTCTGTACCTGGCACTGTGTGGGCCTGGAGAAGCAAGTTAGTCACCACATCATCTCTTCAGCCCCACCACACATTACTCGATATGGTGGCCCTAGAGGTCTCTCAGCCCAGCCCTGTTAGAATTGCCTCCCAGACCCATTAGACTTCTCCACACAGGCAGCTGCAGGATAAATGATGGTTACTGGAACAGCCTGATTGCAGCCTAGCAGCATATCTCTAGGGATTCGAAAGGACTCTTGGAACATTAATATTTAGAGAGAGAGAAAAATGTCTTTTGCAAATGGGAAATGAATGGTGTGATGACACTTTCAAAAACACACATACAATTGATTCCCAATGAACTAACAAATAGAATATTTTAAGATGTTTGAGATATAATTAACACATTAATAACTGCATGTTTAAGATGCGCAATTTGGGAAGGGTTGGCATATGTACACCTCCAGGAAACCATCACCACAATCAAGCTAATGAACATGTCAGTCATCTCCAAAGTTTCCCACGCCTTTTGGTAATAATCCCTGCCTCCTGCCATCTGGCCCATGTCCCTTAGTATGGTCATTCTTAATTTAGATATTCTAACAGATTATGTAGTAGTATCTCATTGTGACTTTAATTTGCCTTTCCTTAATTATTAATAACTTCTTTTCAGGTGCTCATTTAAGCATCCATTTATTTTCTTGGGTGACAGATCTGTTTGTATCTTTTGCTATTTTTAAATTGGATTGTTTTCTTCCCAGTGAGTTTTGAGAGCTCCTTATATACACAATATCTGTCTCCAAGATGCAATGGATTGAACTCTTATGAGGGAAATATGCACAGCTCGTAATGCTCAGCCAGTACTTTTATATTATACAATGGTATCAGTTACATAAAATCATGAAGGAAAAGATAAGACAGTCCCAGTAGACTAGAAATGGAAGGCAACCCATGCCCCTGTGAATGTAGTGGAAGGTGCTGAGGTATCAGCAAAGGACATTCGTACCAAGAATCCTTGGCATTACCCACAACCTCAGTAGACTCTCGAGGGCTTGAAGCTTAGAAATGTGAAGAGTCAAGCAAAGGCCAAAAGGAGAAGAAAGCATACAACTGCAGACATGGTGCTCAGTGGGACATGAGGTCAAGGAACTGAGAAGCTGATGCTAAGGAAGAGGGGGCAAAGCAAGCAGCCCTTAGCCTCTCCCCTCCTCAAACCCAAGAGTGGATCCAAGTTCATGGTGCAGTTCCCAGGAGCAGCAGCCCAACACTTTGGCTAAGTCAGAAGCTTTTCATGGAAAAGCTGAGCTTTCCAGTTCTTTGCCCCATCCCCTGGCCTCACTCTCCCCTCTTATACACTGTATGATGAGTGTGGTGCTGCTTGATGTTTGGGGGTGACAAATCATCACTTCTATGAGTCCAGAGAAAACTTTACATTTTCGAATTACATTGATGCAGAAAGATTTAAATTGGACAGAAAGGGCCTTCAAGCCCGGGGGGGGGGTAGTATATGGCTTAAGAGATCTCATGATTCAGAGAGAGTTCCTTTGGGATAGCAGAGGAATATAACTCCTCATCAATATGGCAAATGGAAGCCCTGTGGATTGAGAAAGAGAAACCATCCCTTCTGTACAGCACCTGCCCCTCCCCATCTTGGCCCTCCTCCATCACACCCTCAAGGCACAAGTAACCATCTTGCTCCTTCTCCAGCTCCAGGTTTTTTCAGCAGCGATGCTGTAAATTTCCATGCAGGTATTTAGTGTGTCAGGGGGTCTACCAGTGGGAGTCACCAATGTTACACTAAATTCACAGATCTGAATTGAGGGACTAAATCAAAGACTTCAGGCTCTCAGCAGAGTCTGGGCCACTTGTTCTACCTCACAGCTTCATGGGCTCTGCAGGTTTGTTTGTTTTTGTTTTGTTTTGTTTTGTTTTGTTTTAACTACTTGCTAAATCCTTTTCTAGCTGAGTCTCTGAAGTCCCTCAGCACACAGGCGTGATGAAGCACAGAAGGCTTCAGCAGTGGAGCTGTAGCCTCTAACCACATTAAAGCAAGTCAGGAAGGGACCATGTCGGGAGAAGATTGAAATGAAATCTACTGGGCAGCACCTAAAGGACCTTGCCTGCTTCAGCATGCCAAGGCATGCTGTCCCCAGGATACAGGAATCTGGAGACTCTCAGTGATTCTTTAGCTCTCCCAGAAACTGGAAGAACACATTTGGTTTTTTATATTTTTGCTCAAAGAACTCCAAGTGAGTGTGGATCAGATGACTCTGCCCCTGAGATGCTTTGGGGACAGGAACCAGGCTGGAAGAATGCCTGTCTGCATGTAGGAAGGTTCTTTTCCCAAAGGACATAAAAGCTGAGACCCAGGGAATGTCAGGAGTTCCAGAGGTCCTATAGCAATGACTGTCCCATTGTAACCCACTTATGGAATCAGCTGAGTCAGGGACTGACTCACAACGGCGAACACTATTTGCTTTTCTAAACAACTTTGTTAAATACTCAGTGTTAGCAAGTCTTGCTGGAGCATGAGCATGTCTTGACTTGTGTGTCTTGGCTTCAATATCCATAAGATGAAAACAACTTTTCCTACCTCTCCAGGTATTGCAACAGCAGAATGCCAAGTGCCCAGAGTGGTTCTGGCACAGAAGAGGGGCATCAGCAGTGGCAGTCAACACTTGCCTCTCCTTTCCTGTCCTCTTCCCAGGGAAATATGTGTTCAACTCCCTCCCCAGGTGACAGGATATGAATAACCATACTGTATCTACCTCAGAAGCTTAGGGCATCATTACTGTTCATCAACGACCTAAGGCCCATGATGGAGAAGAGCACTCTAAGAGTCATCAAAGTACTAGCACAACTAGATCTTTGAGTCTTTCAGTTTCTGTTTCCTTGGGCAGAAGAAATGTTTCTGACATGTGTGTCCAGTTGAAGCTGTGTCCCCAAGCCCATGTCTTGTACAGTACGATGTGCTCCTGCCCTTTCTTCTATCTACTGTGGCCCTCACCCACCAGGGAGTTGCCCCACCCCTGAGGCTGTGAACACCCCTGATAAGGGCAGCTCCCAGGAGCCCCACCCTCCCTGAGAAAGGCGGGATGTTTATCGCCATAACCAGCCTGGGGCGCGCGCAGAGGACTGACAGGAAGATGTCACTTTTCAGTGCCCACGATCATACTTTCCTTTTTCACCTTCCTGATCAATCAGGAAGGGCCTTTACAGCATGTCCTATCTAAAATAACATTGAGAGGCTGGGGGTGCAGATCAGTGGGAGAGTGTGCACTTAGCATTTGGGGGGTGGCCCAGGTTCCATCCCTGACACCGAAAATAAAGAGATGAATGTTACACTGAACAGAATAAGAAATATAGTCTGGCTCCCTTAAAACTTTGCCACTCCTTTTTAACATTGATGAGAGAAAGAAGAGAAAGAATAACAGACAGTTTGGATTGTTTCCCTACTTCTCTTTGTATGGTGAGCACTTATGACCAATTAGGTAATGTTGGGCATCCGGCTGTCCTGGATGGAGGAATGGCAAGTGTAGGGTCTATTTAGGGAGGTGACCAGGCCGGGTGTCAGGCCCACAGTGCTGGCATACATCTCCACCATGTTCCTTTTAAGAGGGTTGGCAGCCCTGGAGTCTATTTTTAAACCCATGAGGAAGGCAGTTCATAGGTCCCAGAAAGGGCCAACATGGAACTGGAGATTACTGGTGCAGGGGGAGGAAGCATAGCTGAATCTCAAATTTTCTCTTCATGTACATACAGGGTTCCCCTCCCTGTATGCCTAGGATCTGACTATCCTTCCAAAGGTATTCCTTGAGTTACAGGCCTACAGTACACAGTACTCACAGTACTCGTGAGTCCACGAGTTGGCAAAATAATTTTCCATGCCAGGTCTGTTTTTCAGTATTTGTTGTTATTGTTTTGTTTTGTGCTTCAATACTCCTGGTCCCAGTATAAATAATCACTACATTTTTAATCAATCAAATCACATGTCCTGGAACTCCCACAC